GGCGCAGCGCGGGAGCTGTCAGTGCGCGGCCGGCGCGGCGCCGAGGCTCTAGGCTGCCGACCTGCGCTCCGCGCTGCTCGCGAGTTCCCGGCTCCTCGCAGCCCTTTGAAAACCCTTTTCCACCAGTGAGCGCTGCAGCCCTGAGCCCTGAAGTCCCGGGACCCGAGCCCTCGGTGCCCTGAACCTCTGCGGAGCCCGGTGAGTGCACTGGCCGGGTGTGCGGCGGGAACGGGAGGTGGGTTTTGTGGGTACATTTTGATAGGAAAGGGGGCAGCGCTCAAGAGAGAGGACTGGGTCTGCTCCTTCACAGACGCCTTTGACAGTGAGTTAGGACAGAAACTGACAGTTCTGTGTGTGTGTGTGTGTGTGCGTGCGCGCGCGTACGTGTGCATGTGTCTTGAAATGATAAGGTGGTGCAACCGATTCTGGTTCGGGCCAGTTGGTGAGGGTAACTCCTCTGCTTTCCTGCAGGTGTGTGAAGATAAATAGAGCTGATACAGGGCCAGTTAAGCCTTACTCGGAAGGAAAGCTGAGTTCCTTCCACAGCTGAAGGATAAATTTGGTAGGAATACTATTCTGAAGGAATTGACCAAGCAGTTATATTTTCTAGTCCCAGAACACGAAGTTTGTCCACATGTTTCCTTGTTTTACTACAGTTATTGTTTATATTTGTATTTTCAGTGCATAGTTATTTTAATAATTACTTGTAAAAATTTATCAAGTTATTATAATTCTAATTAAAATACTATTTAAAAACTCAGTCAATACAAAAGACCAAAACATTAGATTGCAAATCTCTGAATATTTGTAATGTTGTATGTTTTATTTCCTTGCATAATAGAACAGATAGAAAACCTCTTTCTTTTTCATAAAAACATACAGATTCATAGAAAAAGAAAATGTTAGGCATCTTTATTCTAGGTCCTTGATGTTATTCAATAATTCTCTTAGAAGATATTCTTATACATCACAGAATATTAAATATCACACACACATGCAAAATGTATTTCTGAACTTAGCATCATTAAGTAATTGCACTGTATACGTGAAGTATTTTAGGTGAGCATAATCGTACGTATGTGGAAAATCAGTTACAAGCTACAGTGGAAAGGTGCCTGACGGGGCACATTAGAATGGGCACGGGGGGATCAAAGGGTCCGCTCTGCTTAATAAATCGGCATCCTCAATAGAAGGGAAAGACCAGTTATCCAGTTTGGTGACAGTAGTGCAGAAACATGTTGGTTATTCAGAGAAGCTTTTCCTGATTTACTTCTGAGGGAAATGTCCTGCACAGGTGTCACTTGGGGATGCAGTGGAGACGGAGGAGTGGAGTGGGAGAGCATCCTCAGTGCTGCCCCTGACCCCCAGCAGTGCATGGTCTCAGTGAGCTTTCTGAGATGGCTGGTGTGTTTGTCCTTGTTCTTAACCTAAGTGTTCTGGGACACAATAGGATGAGAAGACTCTGGTCCCATATGTGGTTTGGTGATTGGTCCTTATTCAATAATAAAGCTAGAGATTCTGGAGGTAGTTGGACCTCATGTTCATAAACACTCTCCCAATATTCCAGTCAAGAATTAAAGTATTTTAAAATATTTCAATTGATACATAGTAACTACAATATGTATTGTGTTTAGTGTGACATTTCAATTTACATGTACACTGTGCAATGGTCACATCAGAGTGGTTTGTGTTTGTTACCTCAGACGATTCTTTTAGGTTTTGATGGCAGTCTGATTCTGATACAGACTATGTCAAGAAAAAATGATCATACTGTTTGCCTACTATGGCAGTGATTTTGCATTAGAGTGTATGTCCCTTCCCTTCTGCCACTGTGCTTTTTGTGGATCTTCTCTGATCACAGATGTGACTTCTCTATTGAGCATGTTAGATCTCTCTGTGGCAGTAATTTTGAATTCACTAGAAGAATGGATAGATAGATAGACAGACAGAGAGAGATGTATGATAATATATGGCTACCTGCAGAGTTAGGGGTGAAACATGTAACAGGACCATCTGCAGGCTGGAGGGTGGGACAGTCCAGTCAGAGTTAGACAGCTTGTGGCTCTTTGCAGAGGCCCTAGCAATCTATATCAGGAAGCACAAGGGCCTGCATTGGATGGCTGAAGAGTCTGAACTGGGAGCCTGGCAAAGGAGCTCCAAGGCCAAGGTGAATACTGAAGCTCCTACGAAGGAGCAGAAGCAAGGGTTCCTTCTTTCCCTTCTTTCCTATCCAGGCTGTATGCTTAAGATTGGGGCTTCCCACATCCAGTACAGGTCTTCCTGCTTTAGCGAGTTCATCATCCAGACACATTAGTCATTTCTTATTCAAGTTTACTCCATAGTTGACTGTCACAATCCACTCCTTGTCAAACTAGCAACCAGACACATTTCCTTTTTTTGTTGTTGTTGGACTGTTAATCAAACTCAGGACCTCGCACTACCCAGGTAGGCACCGTATCAATGAGCTATGTCCCTGGCCTCAGAGAAATGTTTCCTTAAACTACACACTTCAGATACAATATCAGATTCGTAATTACTCATAACATGTTACAATAATGTTGTATACAAATGAAAGTGCACTGATTTTCTCCCCCTAAGGGAAAGTGTCTTAGTTACTTGTCTTGTTCCAAACACAAAATACCCAACACCTAAAGTAAAGCAAGGCCAGGTAGTTCATCTCATAGCTTGTAGAGGTTTCAGTCCACAGGCAGCTGGCTCCAAGGCAGGGTGGTATGGCAGAGGGGCATCACAAGGGAGACAATTCATGGCAGAGCAGGGCAGGCAGAAGGCATCAAGCAGCAATAGTAGCAAGCCTTCCTTCTTTCTATCCCTTTATATTCCATCCAGACTACCAGCCTGCTGATTGGTGCCACCTTTCCCAGGGCGGGGCTTCTGTTATCTACACCCTTAATCCTAGTATCATTCCTTCAGTCAGTGTTCACACACCCTGATCCAAGTACCTTTGAAACTTCCCCACCTGTGACTGAATGAGGTTCTGAAAGACATTTAGTTGCAAGCCATGCAGAAGGCAACATCTTTCTTTGAGTGATGCTCATTCACATTTCAGAATTTAAGCACTGTATTATAGGCTTGGCAATAATTAAGAACCAGTGTTAAATCTATCAATGTTATGTTACAAAGGATGCATACTAACAAAACAGGAGAGAACAATTTCAGTTCCATGCCTGTTTTCTGTAACTGGTCACAGGTGCATAGCTGGCATTTAGAACAACCTTCTTCTACTGAATATTCTGTATTCCCTCGGCCTTTAGCAAGCACCTCAGCAAGTCTTGTTTTTCTTTTTTTTATTTTGGGGGAGGGGTGACCCATACTTTCAATCCTCAAGGTGCTGGGTCATTTGTCATCCTACCTGGATTGCGTTGTTAGAGTTACCCACTGACCTTACTAACAGGGCATGGTAATACTAGGAGGCACCCTAAGGGATCTCCTGCATTCCATATATTTTCTCCCTTTCCTCTGTTGTGGAGTAATTGTCCAATTTTTGCTTAATAGTCTGGACTGTTATTCTTAGCTTGTTCACTCAGAGGCCTGTGGAGCCCAAAATGACCAGGGGAAGGTTTAGCCTCTAGCTCAATGGAATCATGGTGCTTCCTGGTACAAGCCTTTCCCCATCTGGAACTAAAACTTCTAGGCTAGTAGAGTTATGAGAAAAGGAATTGGCAATTTTTCTGGTGAGTCATAAAGGTAATGTTGAGCTGTACCGATCCTCCTTTGATCCCTTGATTCTTGGAACCCTGAATCTTGGCTATGGGAGACACAGAACCATATACTGGATGCTAATTCAAAACATTTGCAGCTTTGTGAAGAATTTTTCCCCTCTTGCAAGCTATTTCTATTTAGCTTCCACCATTACTGTAGCCTCAAAAAGCCATTCCATGTTTTCTGCCAATCCAAGGGCTTCTGGATGTTGAAGAACACAGAAAGACCAGTGAACTTGTGAGCATGAGCCTGTTGCCCCACGGTTTGGCTGTGAGGTATGTTCCTTGGTTAGAAGCAATGCTGTATGGTAAAAGATGATGGTGAATAAGGCATTCTATAAGTTCATGCATGATGGTTTTTGCACTGTTATGTGCGGGTTAGACAAATCCATACCCAGAGTGAGTGTCTATATTGGTAAGGACAAAGCTCTGACATTTCCATGATGAAAGCAGTCTTATATGGTCAGTCTGCCACCAGCTTACAAGCTGAACGTGCTGGAGAATGGTGCCACATCAGGGACTCAGGATTGGTCTCTGCCACTGGCATCTTGGGCATTGAGCAGTTGCTGTAGCAATATTGGCCGTAGTGTGTGAAAATCCACGTTGCTGAGCTCATGAATACCTTGCATAGCTGACACCATGGGCATTTTATTCATGAGTCTATTGGGCAGTGACTGGGTTGCATGAGGAAAGGGTTTACTGCTATTTGTAGAATGGGTCATCTTATCCAATGAATTACTGAAGTCCTCCTCCCCGGTGTAGAGGGACCTCGAATTTTAGTTGGGTTTATTTCCCATCCTTTGGCACACAAAAGCTTTGCTAACATGTCTAGGGTGGTTGTCAGACTCACTTGGTCCAATTAGTATAAACCACAAATGTAATGGATCAGTGTGATACCTTGTAGGAGAGAAAGATACCTTAAACTAAGTCATGACTCTGGGCTGGAGAGTTCATGTAACCCTGACTTAGGACAGTGAATGTGTATTGCTCGCCTTGCCAAATGGAAGCAAATTGTTTCTGGTCAGTCTTATGGGTAGGAATAGAGAAAAAGACATTTTCCAAATCAATAGCTGAATACAAGGTTCCACAAGATGCGTTAATCAAGCAATGAAACCACATCTGATACAGCAACTGCAATCAGACTCAGCATTGCTTGAGCTTAAGGTGATCTACCATCTTTCTCCAAGACACATCCATCTTCTACACAGACCAGATAGCAGAATTAAGTGGGGATGTGATGGGATCCACTATAACCCTTCATTTTCCAAGTACTTGACAGTAGCACTAATTTCTGAAATCCCTCCAAAGATGTGATATCGTCTATGATTTACTATTTTGCTGGATAAAGGCAACTATAGTGATTTCCAGTTCCTTCTCCAACCCTAACGCCCTCATATTAGAGTTTAGGGAGCCAGTGTGAGGATTCCACTAAGTGCCAATTATGCAATCTGAAACCAGGGTGATAACTAAAGTATGGTTATGGAGACTTGCTGGATCTGCTATGAGTTGGACTTTTGCCAAAACTCCATTAGTCACCTGGCTTCCATAGGCCCTTACTCCTGATGGAATCCTACAAGATGATTGGATCCCCTGGAATCAGTGTTAGCTCAGAACCAGAAACCAGGAGTTGCTGAAATTTCTCATTATTTCTCTTCCCCCAAAGTACAGTTTCCATGGTACCAGGGTTTATGTAATTTTGGGGAAGAATGAAAAGAAGGAAGCTTACTTTTTGGTGGCATACCAGGATCTTTCCTCCAGAAAACCCAGCCACACCTTTGTTCATTGGGTTGAGGGTCTTTAAACTGGCTCTGCTTTGGTGGGAATGTGTTTGTATGACTGCAAGTGCACACCTACACACACAATTTTTGAAGGGGGAGCATGATACAAACTATTCTGCTTTTTAAAAAATGATTGTGATCCTTGGGATTAAAGCCCAAGCCTGTGGATGTGAGGGTAGTGTGTTAGTGCAGGGCTATACACCAGCACTTTTTATTTTCTTTTGAGACAGATTTTTGTTTTGTTTTGCTCTGTTTTTTTTTGAGACAGGATCTCACAATGGAGATCAGGCTGGCCTTAAACTATGTAGCACAGGGTGACCTTGAACTCATCGGGATCTGCATGCCACAGCTTTCTGAGCCGGTGCCGGCATGCCTAGCTTGTGACAGATTTTTACTAAGTTGTCTAGGCTGCCCCCAACTTGTGGGGCTCTGTCTTCATCTGGAGAGAGCTATGATTACAATTATGTAACACTGTGCCTGGTATCAAAATATATTTCTTGCTGTAGGTCCTATCAGAAGTTTGAAAAGTAGTCCTACTGTCCACCCCTGACTGTCTGTTCATAATTGTTAGTGTCTAAATGTGATTACAGTTATTGAATTAAAATCTGGAAGGGAAGAGGAGTATTAACCTTAATGCAGTAGACATGTGTCAGTAGATACGTGTCCTGAAGATGAAGGAGTGCATTGTAGACCTGGTGTTGTGTAGCTTCTGATGGACTCTAAGTCGGATTGAGCTGAGTTGCCTGTTCCTCTTGCTCTCCCCATGGGGCCCAGGATAGAAAATTCTCTAATAATCCTTCACTTCTTCCTGCTCACTTTCCCACCATGCCATGAGATGTGCTGGTCTTGGAACAGGGGTTGAGAGTCTCCCTGGACATCTGCTTGCCCACATACCCTTCGCCACAAACAACCCAGGACTTGTTACCTATTCCTCTCATTTCACTTTCAGAAGCATCTCAGTCATGACCCTCAAAAATATAAATGAATTTTTTTCCAGTTTCCTTACATCTGAAACTTAATAATGGTCTATTTTTACCTTTGTTTCTCACATATTTTCATTGGCTGGAGTTGCTGGAGAAGTGATCTTTTTTCTGGCCCCAGTTAAACCTACCCAGAATCCTGATGACTCTGGAGGTGTAGGTGATGTGCTAAGCATGTGTGAGCCCTGGATTCAATGTACAGAAACTCCAAATAAAACTTTTAAGAAACTTCTATGCCCTTACTGTGGGAATGAGATGCCTTCTCCTGCTGGAGTTCTGTGCCTCACCCCCCTCAGAGCCACCTCTCTGTGTTGAAAGAAAGGAGAGCTCTGGGCAGCACATTCCATCCTCAGCTGTGTCTGAGAAACTAGGTGCCATTTCTGATATCATCTGTCTATAATACGTCATGTCTCCTAGTGCACCAGTGCGGGACATAGAGGTAAATCAGCTTCCAGGAGTGCTCATGGGCTATGGGGGAGGGCTTCAGGACTATATCTCCATCCTGGCTCTTGGATTGTTCCAGGAGCCTCTTATAGGACCTCCATTCCCTTTTGCTACCCCAAACTTATGTGAGAATGATCCTTCCAAACACGGTGACATCAAGTCATGCCTTACTCAGAGCTTTCTGGTGCCTCCTCCTCTCATTTGCAGTCAAACCCAAGGTCTTCATGGTGAACAGTGGTAGGCTCTGCCCAAGTGGTCCTCCGCCTATGCATCTCCTGTGGTGTGCCCTGCTGTACTGCTCAGGCCTTCTGGGCACTTTGCTGGGGCTTAGATTTGATTTTGAACTTGCACTGCTCTTTCGATTGGCATCCTTAGAGTCGCCTCAGTGGTCTCACCAGAACGCTTTCCTAGTTCACCTGCCCTCATGCTTTATCTATGCATTTCACTGTGGGCTGATGTTTTTCCCAGGTAACCACATTCGACTGTGATGATTTTTTTTGTAGATTTGTGTGTATGTAAGTGTCTGCCACCATTAAGCTTGGTGCTTTGTTAGCTTCCTTGTTGGTGGGACAAACTGCCCTATACTTAAAATTTAAGGGTATGCAAATTTATTTCAGCTTACAGTTTCAGTGGAGTCAGTCCAAGTCTGCTGGAATGAAGGCAGAAACCTCATGGCAGAGAATATCTTGCTCAACTCATAGAATGTGGTGGAGCATCCAGGAAAATACCAGTAACAGATATACATCCAAAGCCATGTCTCCAATTATCCTCTCCACTAATTGAGCCCCATGTCCTAACAGCACATTCAATTGTCCACTTAGTAAATTAACCCCATGATCCAGTCACCTTTATTAGTTAAATTCACAGCTAAGATTAACTGATACACACACGTACCTTGTTAACATGACACTTAGTCTCATCTCCTTAAGCCATACGCAATCTCCAAATAAGAACAAAAAGAAAGTGAGATGAAGTAAGAAATTGGAAAAAGAACAGGTCAAGGATGGGCTTGTGCTCTTCAGTATTAAAAAATAATGCTTTAGTAAGTATAACCTTTCATATGCTATAAAATATATTTTAATATTATTGAAAACCTTGCCACTTATTATCCTGATTTTTACTGAGTTGTGTGTCTTTCAGGACCTGTTAGTACAGAGTGTGCACTGGATGATACACAAAGGATATGTCATTGAAAATGTTTCCCCTTGTAAATTAACCAATGTGGATTCTGAATGACTTAGTTCCAGTATAAATTTTCTAGATCCCAGTACTCTGAGCAACTGAGTCAGGAGGATCAAAAATGTGAGCATGGATGGAATAATTTAGTGTCATATGAAGACAACATTCAAAATAAAAATAATCATCTGATTGTGTAGCTCAGTTTTAAGGGATTGGGTTCAATTTGCAATCTTAGTAGAAAAAAAAATGACCAGAGGTTTGGGCTTCTGCAGGAGCCCTATATTACAAGGCAGAAGCCAAATCTATACTTACTAGAATCATTGCTAGGAAAAAATGTTAGGGAAAGTGGCCATCTTGTGTAGTTTAATATGCTGTAGTTATAACTGCTTTAGGATTTAAAAATCTTCCCATG